GTTTCACTTAGATCTCTGGCTGTGGCCTTGTCCTGTTGTTTCATTTGGGATATATTTCTCTGTCTCCTCATTTTGTCTGCCTCTCTGTGTGTTAAGGAAGTCAGTTGTGTCTTCTGCTCTATGAAGAAGAGGTCGTGGAGTGCCCTGATGTGCAGTGCCCCCTGTTCACCAGAACCTGGCAGTGCAATAAACTATCCTATGTGTGTTGCTTATTCCCTGCTGTTGTACCTGAGTCACTATTCCTTTTAGTGCAGTCATCTGCACTCTCTGCCTGTGGTGGGTCATGCTTGCTTTCTGTGGTGTTAGTGGAATCCAGGCAGGCCAGCTCTGAGAGGGTGTGTCCACCACAGAACTTGGGAGTGGGGTGGCAGTGTTAGCAAATTTGTGCTAGGCCACTAGTCCTATTCCAGATCCCCCAAAGTGCTGCAACAGCTGGGTGCTGCACAGCAGCTGGGCATGGCCTGAGGCAGCAGTTGTGTGCCCTATGGCTGGGTAGGATGAGTGTGCACAGCTTTAACAAAATTTGCTCTGAGCCCAGGGCCAAGGCTCACAGACTTAGAGTGGGTGAGTCTTCAGGAGAACTCACAGGCATGGCACACTGCTAGATGGTTTGGTTGTAAGAGTCTGTGCAGCGTCACCTCCCACAGATGACCTGTGTTTACGCTGGGGGACAGGGGAGGGAAATGGAACCTGCCAGCTCCCTCATTTTCAGGAAAGTCCCCAAAACCCTCCAAAATCAGTATGAACAGATCTGTCTCCCATTTGACCATGGTGTTGTATAAACTGCTGTTTTTATGTTGCCTTTCCTTGAAGGCTGCTGTCTCTTTAAGGGCGGCAACCCAGCTATTCCTTGCCCTCCAGGCTCACCCAGTGCTCATTCAGCTGACTCTCAAAGCTCCAGGTTCCTACCGGTTTTACAAACTCTCTGGTTTTCAAAGCCAATGAGGATTAATTTTCCCTGTAAGAGCTCCCTGGTGCAGGGGCCTGTTTCTTGGCCCTCTCCATGAACCTCCCTCCCTCCTGGGGGCAGCCTCCCTCTACCTTTCTGACCTTCCTAACCTTTCAGCTGCAGCTTCTTCTCCATATTTAGTTGTGGAACTTGTTCTGCCAGTCTTCAAATCACCCTCCAGTTTATTTACTTTGATGTGGATATCTATTTGTAACCACAGGATGGGGTGAGCTCAGGGTCCTACTCTGCCATCTTCTCAAGCTCCTTCTTTGCTCAGGTGCTATGTTTAAGGAAGTCTGGGCCATGCATGGGTATCTGGCTGACCACCCATCCAACATCTCACCCCAACCACCACATACACAGTGTGTAAAACTTTGAGATGACAGCATGTGTTAGCTTTCTCCAAAGTATCAGAACCACTGGGATGAGTACACACATGTAGAGAGATTCATCTTAAGGAACTGGCTCATTAGATTGTGGGAGCTGATAAGTCCAAAATCTGCAGGCCAGGTCAAATGGTGGAGACTGAGGAGAGAGCTCTGCTGTGGTCTTGAGTCCAGGAGCAGCCTGGAAGAAACCCCTTCTTCCTCAGGCAACCTCAATCTTTGTTCTCAAGGCCTTCAACTGATTGGTATGGCCCACCCACATTATGGAGGGTAATCTGCTTTACCCATTGTCTACTTAAATACTAATCATGTCTGAAACATAACTTCACAGAGCATCTAGACTTGGATTTAATTAAACATTTGGACCTATAGTCTAACAAAGGTGGCACAGAAAATTTACCACCACACACCATCTGACTGCAATCACATAGAAGGACCCTGAGAATAAGACTCTCTGAGCTAAGCCCACTCCACTCCCAAAATCATAATCAATAATAATAAACTGATTGTTTTAAGTTACATTTTTGGGGTATTTGTTATGCAGCCATACCTAACTAGACTACTATCCAAGCTCTACCCCCAACAACTTGCTGCTCCAGGAATTTTTTCTGCAGTTAAGATGCATACTGACATTGTCTCCACACAATGCCATTAGGGTGAGGATGAGCTAACCCACACTCAGGGAATACATCTTCCCATGAGTCTCGGGTCTGAGCTGGAACATGGCAATGAGTATCCAAGAGGGAACGGCTCCCCCTCCAGGCTTTGCTCTCCTCCCTGTCATTGCCCTGCTGATTCCTGTCCACCCTTCCTGACAACAGTGGATCATTTATACATCTGCACTCCCAGTCAGTGGCCCCGTGTCATCAGCCAGCATTTATTGAATAAATAAATGAGACGCCAGGAACCCTCAGCCGACAGGAAGTGAGCCTGAGAGTGCAGCATGCTGCCCCCCACTGTGCTCTCTCCACAGGGGAGTAGGTGGCAGTAGGTGGAGTAGGTGGTTCAGGCAAGTCCTGCATCTCCACATCTCCTGAAGCTCCACAATCACCCTGACCCCTCAGGGAGACCATGCACATCCAGGGCCCAAGGAGAGCTGACCCAGAATAGGCTTACAGTAAATGGTAGGGGTTACCCCGGGTCGATGACCTGTCCCCATTTCCTTGTGTGCCTGTCTGCCTGCCCAGTGCCATTCCCAGAGTGGAGGGCTCAGAACCAAAAACCTCAAGGGGTGCACCTGTCCCAAGTCCTGTAGGGCTCTGGGGCTTCCTGTCTCTGCTCTGCTGTCAGGGGCCCAGGCTCATATCCATGCTCTTCCAACAGCAGTGGCCTCAGCACACAACAGACGCTGGCCTGGCCCAGGTGGGAGGGATGCCACAGGGAGCAGAGCAGAGGGTGTGGGCTGGCTAAAAAGACAGATGGTAAACAAGGAAGTATATCATCTCCTGCCTGCTAGTAATAAACAAAGTAGGGGTGGAGACAGAGGCTTCTGTAGATCAGGTGACAAGGTGACATTGAGCAGGGAACTGAACAACAGTGTGAGAGAATGAGATGGGCCTTCTATGGCAGGTGGTGGGAAGAAGAGCAAAGGCCCTGAGGACAGGGTATGCACCCGCACATGTGAGGGACAGAGAAGAGGCTAGAGTGGCTGGGACAATGAGACAAGCCTGGGGTGACAACAAGAAACAGGTGGGGAGAAAACCAGGAACAGATCCAGTGGAGCCTCTAGGGAGCCCACAGAGGGTCAGGGAGGGAGAGCAGACAAGGCAGGGGTGTTGAATCTGATTTCAAGGGCTCTTCCATACAGACAGGTGGGAGGTGGCAGCCAGGCCCAAGTAAGAGACTCGGTGCCCTGACCAGGCCAAAGATGGGGCAGTGGGCGAGGTGTGTCTGGGTCTGGAATCCAGAATTTTGAAGACAGAGGCAAAAGTCTTGCTGCAAGGCAAAAAGGGCTAGGCAGAAAAGAGAGAGGTCAGATACCAAGGCCTGTTCTCAGGTGTAACCCCCAGAAGAGGGGTGTGCCAGAGAGAAGAGCCCCCATCTGCTGGAGAACCCAAGGCTCCCCCTGGAGGGGACAGCATGCACTTGGCTTCCCCACCACCAGACATGTGACTGTCAGGCAACATCTAACACCACCACCACTCTTGCAACAGTACCCAGGTAAGAGCAGATACACGTGTGTCCCAAGGGATGGTAATCCACCCCATCTCCCCAGAAAGTTCTTGGATTCTATCTGACAGAGGATAGCCCAGGAGGATATGGCCAGGTTAATAATCACAAAGTCATGGGGTGCCTGGGTAGCTCAGTTGGTTAAGCATCCGACCTCAGCTCAGGTCGTGATCTCAGTGTGTGAGTTTAAGCCCCGCGTTGGTCTCTGTGCTAACAGCTCAGAGCCTGAAGCCTGCTTCGGATTTTGTGTCTCCCTCTCTCTCTGACACTCCCCTGCTCACACTCTCTGTCTCTCTTTCTCAAAAATAAATAAACATTAAAATTTGTTTTATAATTTTTTTTTCAACGTTTATTTATTTTTGAGACAGAGAGAGACAGAGCATGAACAGGGGAGGGGCAGAGAGAGAGGGAGACACAGAATCGGAAACAGGCTCCAGGCTCTGAGCCATCAGCCCAGAGCCTGACGCGGGGCTCGAACTCACAGACCGTGAGATCGTGACCTGGCTGAAGTCGGATGCTTAACCGACTGCGCCACCCAGGCGCCCCTAAAATTTTTTTTTTTTAATCACAAAGTCATTTTCTTTCTCATGATCACCAGGGCTTATTTCCTCCGGGCATATATGCGCCAGAAATGGCAGGACCTGGCCGTTCAGAGACCCCCAAAATCAAATCTCTATCGCCAAGGAGAAATCAAGAACACCATGACATGCTTATTGTGCGCCCTAAAGTTTGCCTTTCATTCTGCACCCAACAGGCCAGATGGTCACTGATATATCACTTTGACATTCATGGAAAGATACCTCAGGTCAAATCAGTTCAAAAAGTTCCTAGCTCATACTGAGCATGAGAGGCCATGCTATGTGGTACAATGTACTACAATAAAATACAAGAACTATATGGCTTTAAAGGAAAAATAGAACACACATTCAAATTCTGTGACTTCGAGAAAGCTGCCTAATCTTTCTGATCCCCAGTTCATTCAAGGAAAAGGGATAACAAAGCCCACTTCATGGGTATACAGGAAAATTAGATGAAACCATGTATGTGAAGCTTCAGCTCACCCCACATAAGCGTGCAGAGATAGGGGTCAGACACCTGATGACAGTCAGGGCAGACAGGATGGGCCCAAGGATGGCCTGGGTGAGCCAGACCCTTCAGGAAAACTGCAAAGCCACAGAGGACACTGGAAGAACACAGCAGGGTTCACTTGCTGGGGACACCAGAAGAACACAGCAGGGTCCACTTGCTGAGGATACCGGAAGAACACAGCAGGGTCCACTCACTGCCCTCTAACAGCAGCAGCAGCAACAGCAGCTGATGACCATAGTGAGCTGGTCATGGTCTAAGTGTGCGGAAATCACCTGTGTCCTCTAGTAACTCCACCAGGAGAGCACAAGTGACCACAGCTATAAAACTTACAGTACGGCTCAGCCTCCAGGCTCCGTGTCCAGGCATGAAGTCTCCACGATGCAGCCCTGTGCCCTGTGGAAACTTACCCTGCAGTTGGGCTCTCTGCTACCTGTGTACCAGCAGTCTCTTGGACGGCACTGAGACCCAAGGGTCAGCGTGGCACTGGTTAAACTCCAAACTACCTCTCACACTGGGGCACCAGAGCCTGGCACCTGACCTCTCCAGCCCCTGCTTCCTCTGTAAGATGAAGACAATAATAGTCTGGCTGCAAGGTGTCCTAGGGGAGGGAGACAACACAGAGAAAAGGTGCCTAGCAGCCTCTCACTGACCCCTGGCCCTCCCTCCAAAGTTCACTTCAGGCCTTCCAGCTGCTGTGACCAAGCGTCGGCACAGCCTAGACGCTCCATCGCCATCCAGGGCCCCAGCCCCCACCCCTAGGGAGCAAGCATCCCTGCACACAGACTGAGTGCATGAGTCCACCCCACCTGCACCGACGCCCCACCCTCTAGTCTCCATTCTAGTGGGGGACAAGCCATTTACCATGGTAGGATGAATGTTTCAGAGTCAAACTGCCATCCTTTAACAATATTTACAAGGTTGTCACAAGGTGATACAGAAATATTCACAAATATAAAAAGGCCTGCCTCCTGATGCCTATATTTTATAGTAAGTTATGGATGCAGACTTTTGGCTACACAGAAAACTGATTCTGCCGTGATTACTAAACTCATGAAACAACTTTTTCCACACTTATCCATAGATGGGGCCTCAAAGGTCCTCTAACAAAAGTTTCTCCAGGATCCTCCAATCCCACCCAGTGGCTGTCTGCGCCTGTATGTTGTGCTCCCCAGGAGGGTTCTCCCTAACTCCCTGCCAGCCCATTCTTCTGAGGGACAACAGGAGAGGAGGGTGTGGGAACATGGGAGAGGGCAGGGAGGACCAGCATGGGCCAACAAAGAGCACCAGCATTGTGCATCCCCGGTCCTTGCCCCCATGCAGTGCTTTTTGCTGCCCCATCAGCACAAAGAGGCCGAGTGGGAGCAGAGATATTCACAAATTCTGCCAAAGAACAAGCTGGCAGCCTTCCTGTGAGGCCATCGGTTCTCTCAGGCACTCTCAGCTGTGGACTCCTTCTGCAAATGAAGTCTGAAAAGGAAGCAGCACATACAGAACAGGGAAACCTGGCATGGGTCTGCATGATGTGGGCATGGGGGCTCGAGCCCAGCCCCATCTGCTTTCCCTGGACCCCTGAGGCCCAGTCCTAAGGCACAGCTCTGCAGAGGAATGCTCTTCCCTGAAGCCCACCAAGCCTGCCATCAGTGCAGAGCTGTCTGGGCTCTGTGCATTGTTCAGCATGGTAAGGCCGGTGCTAGGAAAGGCAGGCTGAATCTCTATGGTTGCTGTTCTACACGCGGAACCACAGGAGCCGCTGCTAGGCTTTTATTCCCTGCACACCGTGGCGGGACCAAGACCACCCCCTCAGCAGACTGGCATCTGTGGGGCCCAGCACACCTCAGGGATGCAGACATCTGTCCTGCCATGTCACCGACCTGCCAGCATCACAGGAGCAGACTGGAGACCCCATTCCTTGCTCAGAGAGGTGCATTCTGAGAATCATAAAAGCAGAAATGCCACAGCCCGACACAATTTCTTTATAAGCCGTGACTTCCGCTCAGCTTCTTGCTCTCTCCCACTCTTCCTCACTACAACCCCAACCTGTCATGACAAGTAACGGGACCAGAGGGACAGCAGAGGCTATGCTGCCAGGGCAGCAAAGTCTCCACATCAGGGACTCCTTCTCCAAGTGCCACCCATGGCCAGGGCCTCATCTGACCTCTGGATTCTCCTCCAGGCTCAGCCTCAAGTACAGCAGACAAACGCCTGCAACAAACCCCATACAGAGAGGAGGGGAAATGAGCAGAGGTGAAGAGCCAGAGCCTCGCCAGGAGTCTAACTCCATTAGGCGAGGAAATGCGAAGCTTGCTGTCACAGGCTGGCCCTGGACAGATGGCAGCTTAAGACACCGCACTCCAGGCCCCACGGCTGGAACAGCCCACAGGAACTCCTTGGCTGCAAGCAAATTCCAGGTAACATTTTCCCTCTTTACTTGGGCCAGAAGGAAGCTCACGGATAGGCCCTGTGGGGAGTGCTTTGTGTATGGACCCCTTGGCGCTAGATGCATCTTATTTTCTCTGCACCCACATGCCTTGTTCACTTGTTTGTGGTCACCCATGGGGTTGGAAGTGCCTCTATGTAAGGCGCCTTGGGTCTTTCCAGTGTAGACAGAGAGGCACACCCTGCAGCTAAGTGATGGGTGGAATTGTGGTGTGGGCAGTGCCCCTGAGCTGTGTCTCTTCCCTGGGGACATCTATCATGAGTGCCAGAGGGGCCTGTCTGGCTGCACAGGACTGAGCTTTGGGCCCAGGAAGACTCGAAGGCTACTGAGAAGGCAGGAACTGGACTCTCTCTGTGGCAGGACCGATCAAAACAAGAATGGCCGAGTGACAATCCCAGCAGAGGTGTTCAAGTCAAGCAGGAGCTTACTTCCTCTCGGGTGAGGCAGCTGAGTCAGGCAGGGCAGTTACCTCTCCAAGGTTCACCATGTGCTGTGTCCCAGGGTCAACAGCCAGGCCCTCCCTGCATAGGACCCTGCACCGGTCAGGGCCATGGCTGAGGGACCTGGCCTCCAGTGCTGTGCAGCTTTCTGTGAGTCTGGCAGTCACCAACTTCTCCTGCCCCACCTATCCATGCAAGGAAAGTGCAATAACACTCACATCCTGGGCTTAATGTGAACAATAAATCAGGTGTTGTCCCTACTGCAATGCCCAGGACACTGTGGGAACTCAGCAGATGTTATTCCTCTCTCCCACTAGGCAGATCCACTCTTTTGTGGGCCACCCACCTTCCCAGTCCCCAGCCAGCCTGCCAGGGTTCCCACTCCCCTCCCACTGGGCAGGCCCAGTGCCCCTTCCAGACAAACTTCCCAGTCCCCAGCCCGCCTGCCAGGGCTCCCACTCCCACTCCCACTCCCACTGGGAAGGCCCAGTGCCCCTTCCCAGACAGGAGGCTCAAATAAAGGGCATGGTCCTGAGGCCTAGGTGGGATTGAGAGCACACAGACATGGCCCTTGGGGGCCATCCACAGTGAGGCCATGGCATTCCTCAGGGTTAGGTGAGGGGGCAGGTGAGAAGGCACCCATAAACAGAGCCCAGCATGGAGGAGACAGGGAAGAGATGCCCCAGCCCTCTCTCCTCACACCCACATCTGCCAGTGCTCTCCATTGGTCAAACCCATCTGGATGCCAACAGGCAGAGGTGTCCCAGGGGCATGTGAGGACGGCTGCCCTTCAAGGGCCTGGGCAGGGCACAGAGCAGAGGAAGGAATGAGGGTGGGGGCAAAAGGAGAACAGCCAGCCTCCCTAACAAAGAGTACCCCTTTCCTGAGACCTACAATCCCTCAAGCAATTATGATTCTTCCCATAATTATTTCAGTTTATTTTTCACCGCAATTCCTTTCATGTAGGGTCATTATTTCCTTCTTTTTTTTAAGTTTATTTTGAGAAAGAGAGAGAGAGAGAGAGAGAGAGAGAGAGAGAGAGAGAGAGAGAGAGAATCCCAAGCAGGCTCTGCACCATCAGCATGAAGCCCAATGTGGGGCTAGAACTCACACACCTGAGCTCATGACCTGAGCCGAAGTCCTACACTTAACCGACTAAGCCACCCAGGTGCCTCTCATTATTTCCTTCTTAAAGTAAAACTGAGGCAGAGCAGCACAGTGGCTCACCCAGGGGCCCTGCCAGGTGTGCCACAACCAGTATCCTGATCCCTGCAGGTTTGCCTGCCTTGGGACAGGGACACACCAGGAGAACAGTGTCTTTTCTGAAGAGTGTGCAAAATGGCACCAAAACTCTGCATGGCAGTCACAAGGGGGGCATGAAGGATGTGGGGAATGGAGGAGGTGGCTGAGGGACCCACAGGCTGTGCCCAGTAGGAAGAGGGGAAGGGCTCGCCAGCAGGCCCCAAGAAAAAGTGTGGGCCTGGCAATGCAGAGGCGACTGGTGGGCTCAGGCCTGGACACTGGAGTCTCTCCCTAGACTCATATCACCCCAGCCGACACCACTCCCATAACCTGAGTTCAGCCACATTTTGCTCAATCACTCATCAAAGTATGATTTATTTCCAAGGGGAAGGAATCAAAAGTCAACAGATAGAGGAGCCAAATAAGATTGTTTCCACCCAACACCACTTCTCTACATGTCTGTTTGGCCGTGGGTTGGTGTCTGTCTCTCTATGTGCACACACACAGGGCAACTGGCATGTATGAAACCTGAGCATGTGTTTGATTGCAGGGCACACGTGTCTCTGCATTGATGTGTGTGCATATGACCCACACATGTGGGCCATACATTTATATGGGTGCTGCTGTGCCTCATTCCATTAACATTAGGCCCCCATCTCTGCGCTAAGGGCTGGCTTCTTCAGTGGAGAAGCTGGTTTGTGGTCCTGTTCCCACGCCAGAAGGCCTGGTTCCTGGTGGTGTCAAAGCTGGCTGAGACAATGCTCCAAAATACCAAAGGCCAGTCACGACTAGATAGCAGGGTGCATGTGGTGGCCTGGACACTGTCCAGGGGTGAAAGGCACAGGAAAAAGTAGCCCTGCTGGAGTTCACAAGGCATCCCCAGATGACAGGAGGTGAGACAGGCACAGCCTCTGATAGCAGAATCACAGGGACCAGCGCAGGATACCAAGTGCCATGAAAACTCTCAGCAGCTGCACCACTGGGAACTGCCACAGGACAGTGGAAGTGCTGTGGAACAGGTCCTACATAGAGACCACCCGGGACGGTGGCCTGAGACCGCTGGCCCACCATCTCTCACTGTGTAAGCTTAGGCAGGTAGCCACATGCCGGAGCCTCAGATGTAGGGACACCAGGAGTAAGTGAGAGGGTGCATGGAGAACCCTGGGCATTCAGCAGACCCTGACAAAGGCCATGTCCTTCCATATCTCCCTGCCTGCTGCAGGAGACCTGACCACCTGCGAGTCCAGACCACAGACACAAGGGCCTCCAGAGGTAACCCAGTGCTGATATTCAGGGTCTCTCCTCAGATTGTTTAGCAGCTTGGAGGAGTGAGGGCAGGATGGCTCAGTAGGACAGAATCAGTCTTAGGAGTCA